AATTAAAGAGAAAGTTTCTCTGGGATGATAGTTTTATCATTACCAAAATATTTTCCTGACCTAGTACAACTGAGGGCTCATATATAACAGTTGAGGTATAATTTATCATTGGAGCATCAAAGGATATACTTCAGTTCACAAGGTGGCTAACTTACACAGAGAAGGCAGTTATAAGATACTTTAAGATACTTTGCTAAAAGTGAGGGAAAATAATCAAGACTCATTCTAAAGTGGGCACTAAAGTAAAAGATCCAGATCAGGAGATCTGTGGTGTATAAGACAGCAAATCAAAAGGTATCAAAAGAGGTCATAGTCAAACCTAGAGCATCAGAGAGATTATTACAGAAAACCTAAGATCCTGGAAACAAGATTAGAAATGTGGCAGGAAAGGGCAACTCTTATTATTATTATTTTTTACTTTATTTTTTTAAATTGTTATTGTGATTTGGGTAAAGTGGATAGAGCAAATTCATTTTCCATACAGCAGTTCATACACATTTTGTTTCATTGACTACAGTTCCCCCAATGTAACAGCTCTCTTTCCACTTCCTCCTTGTAGTTTCCTCTTTCCTTCTTTCCTATGCATTCCTGCCCCCTGAGCTGTCTCCTTGTGCAAATACTGCCCTTCTGTTCTCCCATGATTCTAAAAAATGTATCTACCTGATATAAATGTTCAACCTATATGCCTGTCTAATGATTGGCTGGAAGCCACAGGAGTGAATTCAATTCCAGACCTGAAGGGTAACTAGGAGCCACAGTCTCAGGGGTCTCACCAGGCTCTATCAGACTTAGTCTTTTTTTATGATTTTGAGTTGTGTTCCACATTGTTCTCCCACTCTATCCAAGATTTCCTGCACTGATCTCTTTCCAAATGGTTGACAATGGTAGCTCGGCACCATCTAGTTTTTTGGTCTCATGGTCATATAGGCTGAGGCTTGCATGGTCTATTAGTCCCCCAGACTAATTATTTCCATGTGTCTTTGGTTTTTTTCATTCTTCTCTGCTCTGGACAAGGAGACCCATTGTTGTATCTAGATGGCCATTTGTAATCTTTTAAGACCCCAACTGCTACTCACCAAAGTAGGTTGTAGCACAATGTTTTTGTGTAGTATGTTATGCCAATTGAGCTTCATGTCCCCTGGGATCATGGTCCTGAGCCTGCAGGTCCAACTACTTGCTCTCTCAGGGTGCCTGGCTGTGGCTAAGAAATCACTGTAACTTTACTCCTTGTTTGCTCTATTATATGTATGGACATTCTTACAGCACATACAAATACGTATGTAGAAATATCATCTGCCAAACTTATATACGATCACAGGTATATTCCCAGAAAGGGCAACTAATTCTTAATGGTCATCTCTTTCTTTCATTACATACTCCTATCCTTCCAACTTGCTAGTCCAAGAATTCTCTCTGTAACTAATCCATTTAGCATTGGGATCACTAGCTCATTCACCCTTTTACTTCCACTCTTATCCATCATTCCTTTCTGTCTTCACTTCTCTCCTTATCCAGCAGACATTCTGGTACCATTACAATTATTCTCTTACAAATTCCCTAAACTTGTTTGCTCTTCCACCTTTTGTTGCACCTACTTAAGAAAGCCTCAAACCTAGATAACATTCTGCTTACTTTCTTCATGACTACTTGATGACTCTAATGAATGTTACTGCAGAAGAATCATATAAAGGCATATTCCTGTAATAATTTCATCCTCAACACTTCTTTCTCAGTCTTCTTTGCTAGTTCATACTTCTCTGCTTGATCCTTAAATGTTAGCACTTCCCAAATTTCTTTGCTAGTCAATTTTTCTTCTCATTCTATGTTTTCCTTATAAATCCCATCTTCTCCACATATTACTATCTATGTACCAAAATTATCCCAGTCTTGAAACATTTATACAACATTTCTACTCGGAGGTATCCCTCTGAAGAAGCTCTAATTGTTCTAAGGTGATCTCATGTTGTCTTCTCCTCTTCCGCTGTTCACTGTTTCAATAAAAAGCACCACCATTCATCTAGTACACATTCAGAACCCACAAGTCATTCTTTTTATTTTTCACATCCTAATCACCAAATCTGGTTGATTATATCTTTTAAATGTTTTTCGAATCTAGGTTTACTCTCCAATCCTTTACTATTATAGTCCAAATCACTATAATCTCTTATCTGGCCTACTACAATAATCTCTTGACTAAATCCCACATTTACTCTTTCTTTAAATTCCAAAGTACCTTAATTTTGTATAAAAGTTAGGGAAATATACACCATTGGTGATACACAGTTTAGCCCTAAAATTAGATTTATTAAGAAAAACTCAGAAGCAGAGAAACAATAGAATACATTTCCTGAGCCATCATCATCTCACGAAAAGACAGGCTTAGGCCAGACAAAGACACATGGTAGAAAGAACTCCAGGAGAGGCACCTCCTCCTCAACCATATGTTGATACACACACACACACACACACACAGAGTGCATGCGCTGGTGGTGTAGTGCCTAAGGCATTGGCATTTGACTGCTAACCAGAAGGCTGGCAGTTCAAACTCACCAGCCACTCCGTGGAAGGATGACTGGGCAATCTACTTCTGTAAAGATTTACCACCCTTGGAAACACAAAGGGGGTTGCTATGAGTTGGAATTGACTTGATGACAGTGAGTTTGGTTTGGTTTTATATATGTGTGTGTATATATACATATCTATCTACATATATATATAGATATGTGTATATATATATGTATGTCTGTGTGTGTGTATATATATATACACACACACAGACACACACACACACACACACACACACACACACATATATATATATTTATAACTGAGAATACCTATCTGACTAGTAATAGACTTCTTGGTCAGCGATATGTCCTTGATAGAAAAGAAAACATATGGAACTCAGTTTTAGCAGCCAGAGATCTTGTTTTCCTGCTGAACTAACTTATATCTGCTAAGCCAACAAAGGAAAATGAAAAGAACTACAGGGGCATTAGGAAACCAAGGGCTGATTCTCCTCTTAACTCAAGAATCCACAAATCTGTCACCTGCCTATCTCTTTAAGCTCACATGCTTCTCCCTTGCTATGCTTCAGCTACACTGGTCCTTTCTCAATTCCTTAATGAATCAAGCTCCCTTCCTCCTTAGGGCCTTTGACCCAATGCTTCAACTACTTAACTAACCCTTTTTTTGGCAAACTGATTAACTCCTAGAAGATTCATTTTTCAAGTCACAGTTTAACTGTGACCTTCTCCAGGAAGTCTTTCCTGATGCCCACAACTAGGTTTTAAGTTTCAATAAAAGCTCTCAGACCATGTTGTATGCACCCTGTACAGGTATGTCTCAATAGAAATAAATTAATTATTTGTGAAAATATGTGTACAAATATTTTCCCTGTTAGATTAAAAGACCCTCAAATGGCAGGAATCACAGCTGTCTAGCTCTTAGCTGAACACTCAGACTATATTATATGCTCAACAGATATCTGTTAAATGAATGACTAAAGTCTGCACTTGAAAAGGTCAGGTAAAGTCAAAATGACTTGGCAGTAATCACTATGTAGCAATAATTCTGATGTTAGAGTGCTTTGCACCTTCGTCCTTAGATTGCTGAGGAGTGTGGATTACTCTGGACCAATACCTAGCATACACCTAACTAAAATGTGGGAGCAGTAGAAATGAAACCTTGCTATAATTAAGATGGTAACAGGACAGCCAGGGCTTTAGAGTACTCTTACATTAGCAAACAAATCATTATTTTACACTACTTTCTGTCAATAAGTAAAGTGTTTTAAGGAAATAAGACCCAAGTCTTCACTTCAATAAGCTTACTTTCATTTAGAAAAATAAGACCCATTTACATGGAAAGAAAACTGATATCCTAGTATTAATCAATAAAGGTCAAATAAGGATGATGTGGCCAGTAACAGCTAGATGATGTTTAGAGCAGTTCTCAGCCTTGGCTGTACATTAGAATCACCTGGGAATATTTTAAAAATACTGATGCTCAGGGCTTACCTCCAGAGATTCTGAATTAACTGAGTTGGTGGTAGGTTCTGAGCATTAGTATTTTCTTAAAAGTTCCTCAGGTAGTTCCAGCATACCATCTGGGCCAAGAACCACTGGTTTAAGGATTGAAAGAATGACCTTACTGAAGAGTTAGTATTTGAAATGCTTCTTAAAGGATAGATAAAATTTGGATAAGTAAAAAGGATTGATGAGATGTTTCAAATTAGGGATTATGGATTAAGAAATGGCAGTAAAGTTGCAGAAATGAGAAAGCATAAAGTATATATGGGGATAGAGATTATCAATAAAATCAGTTTGTTTGAAGCAAAAATGTTGGTATAGGGGAATAGTAGAAAATACTTGGGATCTTTATCCTTTATTTACTGGGTACTACTGAACAATTTTGCTATATTACTGACATCATCAGAGCAGTATTCTAAGGTAGAAGTCTAGGTATAAGGTATAAGCCTTGAGCTAGGTGGCATCTATGAAAAACTGGATGTGTGCAAGAGGTAACAAAAGGGAGAAATCAATAAGAGCTTTTTGCAGAGCTATAAATAGGACTATAAGAAGAATTTAAAGTCACATTGATAACTTTAACAGAAAACACTATTATCCAGGCAAACCTTGATTCTCTCAACTTCTTTAACCCTCAAATATAAATATCCATAATTAGAAGTCATCCTAGTTTTATCTTTAGGGTTCATCTCTCTCTCTTTTTTTTTTCCCTTAGAAATTAAAATAATAAATACTCCTTAATGTAGTAATCTGTGAAAAAGAGGTTGAGATTTAATTAAAATTAAAAACTGATTTGAAGTTAACACTTAAATTGTTAATCCATTCCATCATTAATAAATATTTAATAATTATCTTCATAATTTGATATCTAATGAATTCTATGCTAAAATCTTTTATTCTGAAACATAAGACATCTCTAAATCAAACTCCTTTAATTTAGAATAACAATTAAATAGCTATTCCCGATCATACCTTGTATTTGGTCATGGTGCTAAAATGATTATTCCGAAAGAACACACAAAGTTCTCCTTCCTGAACCGTTGAAGTTAGTTCACATAATCCATGGTATGTCAGTTGAGTGGCTGTGTTATTTAGAAACTGCTCAGCTACAAAGCCTATGGAATCAATGCATAATATTAGATGGAAGAATGATTTCAAAATTATAATGTTATTCTTTTCGTATTTACACCGTACTCCAAATATAGGGAAAGGCCAATCAAAATGAGACTTTTCCTAGGATAATATGATGGCCCCAAATTGGAAATTCTTCTATAGAAGATGTGTCTTTAGGCATTCTCATCCTAAAAATAGTTGTGTGAAATTCTTTTTATCAATAAATGTATTCATACTTAATACTCCACCTACTTCCAAAAGGATTTCATGCAGCTTTTAACAAAAGACACAGACACAATAAAAATAAAACCCATTAAAACTTTTAAGAAGACAGGAGTTAGTAATTTTAAAAGTGGGGAGGAGAGAAAGATGGTTGTCAACAGCTACTTCCCTAATGGCTAATGTTTAGAATTAAATGTATCCTTAACAAAAATAGTTGCCTAAGATTTTAACAAATATACCATATAATTCCCAAGTCTCAAACTGCCTATTCCTGTCTTAAGACTCAAAGCAAATGTAAGATTGAACAGGCAGTAGTGGGATAACTAATGCCATTTTTATCCTAATCTCCTCCAAAATACGCCACTCATTATGCAGACAGATAAAATTCAGAAACAGAAAACATTTGTTCTGTTTGTGAAACATAATGAAATATATAGATGTTTTCTGGGATAATTTAAAAGATATATATACATATTATTTAAAAGCCTGTACTTCTCTTCTTTCCTTCTTTCTCTCCCTCTTTTTGCTCCTTCCTTTAGTAAAGAGGAAACGTCTCAGAAGCAGTTAAGAGAGAAGGAAATATGCTAAAAAAGTTGTATTGTTAGCAGAGGTGCTGACAGAGGGAGTAAAGATGAATATTCATTAAGAAACTGAAATCTACCCAGAGGGAGCAAGTAGTTGAACCTGTAGGTGTGGGACAATGGTTGCAAAGGACATCAAGCTCAACTGGCAAAAAGGAAAAAAAAAAGGGAACCGAAATCTCAGCAAGAAATTGAAAATAAACTTGGAAGAAATTTGGGTAAAGACATGGTAAGGACCAAAGAAAGATGGATAGAATGGGTGTATTCCATTCCCTCTCCACCCTTCACCCTTAGTGTCAAGCCACGGCACTTCAAGCTGAAAGGTGACTGCAAAGTTACCGATACATCACACTATTCCAAGGACTTGGTTAAGGTGGAGAGAAAGTGCACAGAGTATTAAAGAAAGCCAGAGCCAAAGGAAATTTATAGTTCACCTGCAACTTATGGGGGTTATACATTTAGAAATAAAAGTTTTCTTCCCCCACCCAATTATTACTATTACTTTGCTAATTACTAAGCAGAATGTATTAGTTATATCCTAAAGTATTTATTATTATATAGCATTTAAAAAGTAAGCCTTATACCTGTGCTGAATAGTACCACTGCTATCTGAAATATCCATATGACTAAACGCTTTCTTCAGAAACATTTTGTCTAAATGCCACTCCCACTCCTCACTCACACAACCATCCTCTCTACAAAATCTCTTTCAAAAAGATACAAAAGTTTAGTAGAGATATAAGGAACATCAATTTCATGTTAGTGTGAAATTCAAATTTTTAACACTAGAAGAGTTTCCTCAACTACTCATTTCCAGAACAGGAAATCAACTCAGAGAGAACAGATTAGGTAACTTGCCCAAGAAAACACTGGTATTACATTAACAATTTAGTTCAGATAATTATTACAAATGACAACCTAGTTATCTATCTCCCCAAACCATAAAACAAAGTCTATTTAAGATTTAAAAAGAATAATGTTTCCTAACTTTTCTGCCCTCTTAGAAAATGACATTCTTGTGATTTTAGTGGGAGAGTCAAAACTACTGACCTAGTTTCAACTTTTGGTAACTAATTAAATAAATTTTGGTAAGAAACTCTGTTGTACAACAACTGACTTATCTGCATTGCTTTAAGTAGTCCACTGCTTCAAAAACAATTTGCAAATTCAAGTTAAATGGATTCTTATTTCATTGCTACAAATATTATTATTTACTAAAGGTAAAAAAATTAATGCAATCATAATAATAAAATATTACAGAAAATATATTTAAGTTAAAAATTATGTAAGTTAAAAATTATTTTGGTGACATTAGTGTAAAAATATTCCTTACCATCAGAAATTCAATAATAAATTAGTACATCAAAATATTTTCCTCCTACTAGAGAGTTATGAAAGAACATGAAAGTACTGAGTGATTTAAAAGAGGTGAAGTTAGAAAGAGAGACACTAAAATTAGGCAAAAGGGAATAAAAAGAAGGAAACTTGGCTTATATTAAAATCCTGCCCAGATATATAAAGCCCTACCTGAGATGTGCATTTAAATTTAAGCTTAGTCAGAAAGAACTTTCTCTGACAGCTTTAGACAAACTGATCTGATTTTGTTTTTAATTTCCTCTACCTTCATGTTTCAGAAATAAAATATATTACAATGATATTTTTCCTCAAAAACATGGGACAAAACACTTTTAATAAAACAAATATCCAGATTGTCTTTGACAATATAGAAGCTCAAAGGACTTGATCCAGGGGTACAATTGGAAGCAAAGAACATCTTGTTATGCCGGACCATGAGAAAGTACTTAAAGAATAATGAGAACATATCAAAACAACCTGGGAGCCAGCCTGAGGGCAACCCACTGGCCAATCTTGGACAATCTGAGCATCAAAAAGAACAATGACGATAATGGATTATAACACAGTGAATAAAGCAGAATCCATGAGTCTATATGGATACAAAAAAAATTTAATACGGGAAGGAAAGGAGAAAGATAAATTATTTTTTAAAGAAGAATGCCAAAGAATGTAGATGGAATAATAAAAAATACTATAACCACTACAGTAAAAATTGATTCAGTCAAGAAATAATGGGTGGCAAAGCTACTGGGTAAAAAAATTATTAAGGCATAGGATATTTACACAGTTTCAAAAGTATAATGTCACAGATTACTTACTGATTATCAAAGAAAAAGAGCACAGACAACAAATATGAACCCTTTTGCATATACAGTACTGAGTTGTCAGTGAAAGCAAACATGGGTATATGGACGGATAGATAGGTGAACAAGCTAAAC